AGTGGTCTGTAGATTCCATGTAATTCCTATCAAAATGCCAGTGACAGAATTCACAATGATAGAAAAAAATAACTCTAAATTGGCAGGGTACCATGAGCCTCTGACTAGTCAGAGCAATCTTGAGAACAGAAAGAACAAAGCTTCAAAATAGACTACGCAGGAACAGTAATCAAAACAGCACAGCTAGATCAGTGTGATGGAATAGAGACTCCAGGAATAAATCTCCTCTACAGTAAGCCGATTGGACAAAGGTGGCAAGGACACACAGTGAGGAAAGGACAACTTCCTCAGCAAATAAATGGTGCTGGAAAAGCTGGATACCCGTGCGCAAAAGCGTGAGACGAGACCCTCCCTCTATTTACAATATACAAATATCAACCAAGAGAAGACCAAAGACTTGTGTGTGAGACCTGACACTATGAAAGTGCCAGAGGAACACATGGGGAAAAGCTTCATGCCTTTGCTCTTGAATTCTCTGTCTCCTGGTTCCATTTTAGTGGATACCAATAAGTCCAGGGAACACATTTTGAGAATCACTTCCTTAGGAAATATGATGCCTGGAGCTGATTTAATGGATTGAGTGAAGTACAGACCAGGATTTTAAGACCTAGAGACACTCTTGTAATGAGACTGGGTTATCTTTAATGAGTTCTAGGGAAAGAATGCCTTGATGGTGATTTTTATTTTTTCTGGGAATGAAACTTCAGGATCAAATGTAAATAAAATCTGTAGATAATGTTTAAAAAAGTCTTAGAGCTATATATAAATGTACAAATATACAGCCATTTCATTATCTATTTTTATTACTAGAGTTGTATATTTTTGTCCAAGTTATATAATTATGTGTGTATGTAAATGCAAAGCAAATGCCTTGAAGGATACACATAAAACTGGGAATTAGTATCAGAAGCAAAAGTAGGGCAAGCATCTTTATCTATGCAAATCACAATGTCTGAAATTTTACCACAAATACGCATTCTACAATTTTCTACTAAATTATATAATTGTCCTAAAATTTTTTACTAAAGAAATAAAATTGAAAAGGCTGAAGTAAGTGGTTTTTGAAGTTTATGATTTTTTAACTTCAAAACATGATTTTATGTAATTCCAACACTCAAAAGCCAGATGCAAGAGGATCACTGCAATTTTGAGGCCAACTTATGCTGTATAGTGAGTCCAAGAGCAGCCTGAGCTACACAGTGTGACTCTGTCTCAAAAAAAAAAAAAAATTATTAAACCTAGTTTAGAAAGAAGTGCAAAAACTTATGCACCAAATTTATGTCCATGCCATAGAGTCAGTTAAGAAGAAAAAAGAACAGGAGAAAGGAATTACAATTCTTTAAACACCTACTGTATCTCATAGGTTGCATGTTGTATAGATTTTGCATTGATCTTCATAGAATTTTACTTTAGTGTTAAATTACCTGAGGCTCTGAGATACTGAATGGTCTGAAGAAGATCACTTTAGAGAATGGAGCCAGAAATCACACTTGAATCAATGTATTGATGATGTGATCACCATTCTCCATACCAGACACTTCCTAGCTTCATAAGTTGGTGGAGGCACTCTGCTTCATCTTACAAGTTTTGAAACAGAGAACTGGAATCTGTGGTGCGGGAGCAACTGGCCAGCAGTGTAACTGTCATAACCTGCACATAGTAAACCTGAAAAGACGAAATGGGAGCTCACTCGGTCCAGGCACTGCATTCCTGTTTTGGTTTTTTAGTTAGTATACATTTGCAGTACATAATGATCGCAGTCTTTGAAGAGTGCTGATGCATACATACACACAACACATCTCAACTGTTTTTCTGTGCCCTGCCCCTTCCCTTCCTGTCCCTTCCCTTCCTCCCCTTTCCCTCCTACTCTTGATTTCCTTTCCATTTGCAAAAGACCTGGCTGTGGTATCTGTCACTGCACTGACCTCCAACGTTGATTTGGCCGATCTGGCCGTCTAGGTGGGTGCCCCCTTTCCCCTCACTGTTCATGTGCATCCCTCCCTCACCTGCAGGCTCTGTCTGAGAGGACGACCTTCCCTGATAGAGTAGGACTGTTTCCTTGGTCAAGGGTGTATGAGCTGAGCCCCCTTGCTAGAACCTCCAAACACCAAAGCGGCACTTTCAAGGTGCTTTCTTATTCCCTTTAACCTTCACAGCTGCCCCAGTAAGAGGGAGGCAAGAGGGAGCTATTTTTGCTATTCACATCTCACAAGGACATCAAGGCTCGGAAAACGAGGGAAATTATCTAAAGTCACATATATACAACTAGTCATGGATCTTTTTATCTGACTCTATAGCCTATTTTAATCACTGAGGACACTGAATGGTGTTTTCCTTTTGGGCACTAGTTAGATTTTGAGAAGGAAGACTAGAAACTGTAAGGCACAACTTCTAAAGCAACGCTGCAAGCGAGGGTTGGGACTATCTGCTTCTTTTGACATGCAGTGGTTTGCAAGATTTCAGCACTGGAGTGCAATATATGAAAAGCTATCACATGTTAATTGATGTAGCTAAAATACCCATTAAAGTTGGAGTGGGAACCATGCATGGGCAGGCCTCTCTCTGCTTAACCACACCTATTTGTCTCAAGACCTTAGAGGCTTCTGTGAGGTATTATATGGTAACATATGGGGTGTGAGTTTGACTCAGTGCAAACATTTTGGTCATTTTGTCATACAGTGATTGGAACTGGAGCTTTGACTTTGACTCTTACATTAGATCCATGGCACATCCTTAAGTCCTCAAGTTTGTGATTTTATTTTTAATTTGCTACTATTAATTATTATTATTATTTGAGACAGGGTCTCACTATGTAGTTCACACTGGTCTTGAACTCACTATGCAACCCAGGGTGACCCTAAACTCGTGGCAATCCTCCTGACTCAGCCTCCTGAGTGCTTGGATTACAGGTGTGCACTACCCCAGCCAGCTAAATTTGTGGTTTTAAACTTGAAAAAATTACTTCAGTAAAACTTAGCTCCATACTATGAATAGAACAGTACCGGTGTAAAATCCTTTTACTCTGTAATTCCAGCAAATGAGAAGGAGTTACAAGGGAATTTGCAGTTTCATTCTGAGAAACAAGAATTTTTTCTGAACTACTCTGTTTAATGCTATTAGCTCTCTCACCAGTAAGTCTCCATAGCATTCACAAACGTATTACCCAACAGAGAAATTGGTGATATTTGAGCAATCATGGGTGCATTGTATCTGCCAAATTTACAATGATCTCTTTGGGAATTATTCTGACTTTAAATGCAGGAGAGGTTGGTTGTGGTGGTACACCCCTGCACCCAGCACTCTGGGAGGACGAGGCAGCAGGATGGCAAGTCCAAGCCCAGGCAACAATCTGTCTCAGGAGAAAAAGAAAAATTAAAAGGCAGATTCAATCTCCAGAACACACACACACACACACACACACATATCAGAAGAGAACTTCTTAAACAAACAATATACAGAGTGATACACTTGCTTTTTTAGTAGCAGATGAAGTTTCATTCATAAGTGATGAAGGAAGCACTGAAATGATATTTCATATGATCATGACACAAAGCAATGAATTTAAATATCTGAAGCTTACTTCTCACCTTGCTGCAATCTAGCCCAGCAATATTATGCAAGTCATTTAAGGTAGCTGCACATTTCTAAAAACGAAAACTGAATGAGATATTTTTTTTCCTTCTGGCTATGTAACGTTTTAAAATCCTAAAATGCCAACAATACAAGGCAAAGTTTTTCTCTGAGTTCATGTTTTGCGTAACTTCACTAAGCTCTGTGGTTCTGAAGTCATGGGGCTCTCCAGAGCTGGCCAGATGTGCCCTCTGCTCTTTAATGAGGTCCAGTCACTTCTCTGGAGCATATAGTCATCAGTGGTTGGCTGAGCCACATTCCATGTGTTCTGCATAAGGTGCCAGGCCTGTCTCTTCGCACTTGCCAGACCCTGGCGTGGGCCAGGCTGAGTCACACTGGGAGTCACACTCTCACAGGCTGGCCTTTCCAGTTCCAGCTTCTGCTCCTTCACCCACAGGTTCCCCTGGAACTCTGTGGGGTGCGGTTGCTCTAAGCTCTGCTGTGAGGAGCTACAAAAGTAAAAAAAAAAAAAAAATCTCAGGTAGTAGTTTTTTAAAAATTAACTTCCAACGTATTTTTTTTACTTAAAATAACAAACAAACCCTCCTTTTTGGACTGCTCGGTTATTAATTGGCCTGTTATTAATACCTGATATTGCATCACTGACACATTTATTTTATTGAAGTAACTAGGCTGAAACTCATTTATTGCAGATGATTTAATTACTAGGTATCAATCTTCTATAAATTAGTGATTATAGACCAAAATAAAATTATATATATATATATATTTAATTGAACTAGATAAAATGGGCTAAATAATAACACTAACCATCACTAAAATTAGAAAATGTCATTAAAATTTGAAGCATTTTAAATAAAAGTAACTATGACTAGTTTTGTTCTTCAACCGAATGACAATGATTGCTGAAGCTACAGAATGTGGCTATAGAAGCTCATCTGCAGACTTTGTATCTTTGTACCCATCACAGAAATGGGAAAAGGGGGAAGGGATGCAGGGGAGATTCTACTTATGATCCTTATTACTGATGGTGATACACAAGGGTTTATGGGCTGTCTCATATGTGTTAATCTCTGGATGGCATCAAAGTCTTACACACTGAGAAGCTGAGGGATTGGTGATTATAATTTTGTGACTGTGACGGAGAAGCAGGCGGGGCCAGATGGTATTGAAACACCCTAAGGATTGCTTCCAGCTCCTTGGTGTTCTTCCATTCCTATCAACTAAGCTTACTTAATGTGCCTCAGAATTGAGGGAAGAAATTGAAGCTAGAAAATATATAAAGAAGTTCTAAATCTACAGATCCTGCTTCCGATTTCAGATGTAGTTATTCTAGTGGCAAGGGAAAATAAATGCAGATGTTGGACCATGTCAGAAATTGTGTCAACTGCCTGGATTGTTTCACACAGAGTGGAGATGTGGCTTCTGATACTGGTGACCTATTTGCTTCAAAGAAATGTGAATTCAGGACATTTGCCAACTAAAGCTGTGGACCCTGAAGCATTTATGAATATTGTAAGTTGGAGTTTTCATGACCTTATGGGGATACTAAGTGCCTTAGATGTTAATGTCCACATCTGTGTAGTATCTGCTTTGTGCATTACAACTGTCTGTGGTGGTGATTCATGCTAGCAGGGTATCGTAATGCAGTAGCACACTATCTTGAAGGAATGCTAAACTAGGGGTCAGTAGATCTTGGGGCTCCTCAAATTAAGTAAATTTGGGGGAATGAATTAATCCCTTTGAGTTTCAGACACTACTTAATCTTTCCTTGAACTCTTAGGTTTATCCTATGAGCAAAGAAATAATTGACAGATTCTGGGCCAATTTAAGATTCTTGATTATTTCCATTTTGTCTTTCTTTTTATTCTTTTCCTATTTCCTCCTATGTTAGAGAAGCATCAACCCTGACTTCTTGCCTTCAGTGTGCCTACCATTAATTAGTATTACCCAGGGCTATTCTAATCTGCTCGGTAAAGAGCCCCTGAGTGCTGAAGGAGACCTCTGAGTAAAGTGTATGGAATGGTGATATATTCCTTTACATCTTCCACACAGTTTTTCTGGTGGATGGTAGGATTTACCTCCAGTTTTAAGTTGACTTTTCATAAAGGTCATGTATAGTAACTCTTATCCCCTCGTAGACATTGTGATAAAATCTTCACAGATGCTATTTCATCTTCTGTGCCCTGTGTAGAAGATATGATTATCTACACTCTTCAAGTCAAACAGCTGGGATTAAAGAGGTTAAGCAAGTTAAACAAGGCCTCACACTGGTACATGGTGGAGCTACAATTGAAATTCAGGCTTGCCTAGACACAAAGCCTGTAATTATAATCATTATGCCACGGACCCTCCCAGGTGAGGGAGAGGTGTGCTGAGAAAGGCAGCTGTGTGCGAAGCCCGCGCTCCATGTACTTACCTAATACCTTGCAGAAGGAGGAAGTTTACCTTAAATTTATGCAGTTTTGCTCGTCTGTTTGTGGTACTGGGGATGGAAGCCAGGGCCTCCTGCCTACCAGGCCACTGATTTACCACTGAACTATAGCCCCAGCCCAATTTCAAGTTTCAGACTTTTTATAGAAGTTTTCTTCTATGGGTTCTAAAACAGGCATAGAAATATTTTGAATTTATGTAAATACCAGCTTTTTTCTGACCCTTCTAATACTGACTGATGGGTAATCCAGACAGTTACCACATTGGTGCAGAACCTTAAGAGTCAGCTTTCTGGCACAGAGAGTGTCCTCTACATATTCCTCCGAGACTCAAGTGGAGGGAATTTCCTTAGCTGCAAAGACAACAGTCCCAGCTCCACCCTGGATAGAATAAACACCTACACTGAGATTTCAGGACAAGCTTCTCAAGACTAACAGCTGCTGACCCCTGAAATATTGGCAATTGCCTGTAATTCCAGTTATCTGGGGGAGATGTTGATGCAGAAAAGTTGCAAGTTCAAGGCCTATATGGGAAACTGAGGGAAACTACCTCAAACAACAAAAACACAGTAACAACAAGAAGCCATTGAATTGGGTTGCCACTGAGCAATTATATCAGGCAAGGGAACTAGAAAATTCATGTAGTTACTAGTAATAGGCATATAATTGGTTTGATTCTCTGCACTGGTATACATGGATTATCGTCTATCCTATACTTTGGCCAAAATAACTTGTCTTCTTTTATACAATTAGCTTCATGTTTATTGAACACATAGTAGACCCCTGCTATAGTACTATCAAGCCACAGAAAGATATGAAAATACCAAAAGCCCTGACAATGAAGCTCACAACCCAGCAAGAAAGACAGATTCTCAGTTACTCATGATGATAGGGTGAGCTAATCAGGGAAGCTCAGAGCTAACCACTAATAATTTTCTCATATGCGCTCTCTTTTTCTTTTAAATCTATGAATGTGTCTGTTTTCAAAAATGAAGTAAGTGCTTTGCATAATTGATTCTTTTCCAATTTTTTTCTATTTAACAATATATACCATGAAGAATTTCCCAAGGTCTTAACCTCAGAATGTCATTTTAGCTTCCTGGATTATGTTCCATTGTGGGGAGTTTATACTTGCCCCAGGCTGGAGTCCCTGGAGAGCAGACAGGCTATATGGCAAGACGCATGTGCAGAACATTTAGTAAGGGGAACCTTTGCAGATCAGTGTGGCGGTGCATGCCAGTAGTCCCGGCTACTGGTGCCACTGAGGCTCAAGACTAGACTGAGTTGTAGGGCTAGACTTCAGCCTGTCTGTCTGTCAAGGAGTAGGGGAGAAAGAGAATAGAGAGGGAGGAGGGAAGAAAGAGAGAGCACCCACGGAAGAAGACAGGGAAAGGAGCAGAGTGGGTAAAGGTGACTCTTGACTCAAGACCAGCCTTCCAATGCCAGTGGGCGTGTGCAGTAAGAAGAGCCCTTCAAGCCACCTGCCAGGTCTGTTCCTTCTCTCTGTGCTCTCTCTCTCTCTCTCTCTCTCTCTCTCTCTCTCTCTCTCTCTCTCCCTCTCCCTCTCCCTCTCCCTCTCCCCCTCCCTTTCTACTTTTCCCTTTTTCTTACCTTCAAATAACTTGTCTCCTTTTATTAAACAAAACAAACAACAAATCAGCCTTTCAGAGGTCTCAAAATTAGGCTGAGATAATCAGCCTAAAAGCACAAACAAGACAGTCCCTGCACACAGAAGGAAAGGATGTGGCCCTCAAGGCTGTGGCTGTTCACAGCTGAGGCCCTCCTCAAAGGGACAACAGCCAAGGGCTCTCTGCTGACAGCACCGCCACTCCCTGGTAGATGGCGCAAGTCCTCCTCTGAAGGGGTTCTGAGTGGTTTTTCTCAGTGGCCTCCGTAGTATTTACTTAATCAATGTCCCATGCAATTATTTTACTATTATAGATAACACTTCCATGCAGGGTGTTATCCATAATAGTAAAATAAAGTATGTAGTGGACACATACACACATATGCATACACACATTCTACTTTCCATGAGTCTTGGCTAATTGAGTTTTAATTATAGTGGTAACCATGGGACCCGAGAAGTTTCCTCTTAATGACTGTGCTCTCTTACCCATATTCTACACTAGCTATTTAGCAGCCGGGCTTCTCCTCTCTTCCTCTTATCAGCAGCCTCTTATAGTAATAGTTCCCTTCTTCCCTGGATGAAGATGGTGGGCAACAATAGTGATGATGCTTAGGGGAGGTTGGCAACTTCTTGTCTTTCCAAAAGTTTCTGCATGGTGTCAACTATATGTAATAGGGATTTTTAAGCAGAGGGTCATATGTAGGCAACAAGAAATTTTATGTGAATTTGTTTTTGTGTGCTTACCTATATATTTATTTTTCATGTTTCTTCTCAAATTTATTAGGAAAACTTTTGTGTAAAAATCTTAATTATCACTATTCTTGAGTCTATTTCAGAACTGAGTGTCTCAGGGAAGGCATGGCCTAGGGACTCATCCAAGTTGTCCTAGATCAGGTGTCTTGCTGCTTTAGGATCATCTGATCTCTAACCTCAAGCAACTCAAGAATCTACGTACAGATGCCCTGTGTGATTCTGATGCACATCAGGGTTTTAGAATTAGTGTTCTGGTCCAGTGCTTAGCAAACATTATAATCCATGAGATCTCTTTATCACGCTTGTGGCAACACAAGTTGATAAAGCCTTCCTCAGGGTTCCTAATTCAGTACCTTTGGTGGGAAAGTGCTAATGTGCATTTCTGAAGAGTATGCAAACCATGCTGATGCTTTTGACCCACATTTTAGAACCACGGTCCTAGCCTGACATTCACATTAAAAATAGAAGAAGTCGGGGGCTAAGGGTATAGCTCAGTGTTACAGTGTGAGCATGTGTGAGGCCCTGGGTTCAATTACCAGCACCAGTACAAAAGAAGTGAGGGCTGGGAAGGATGGCCTGGCTGGTTTTTCTACGACAATATAATGAGTTGGGGGAATGTAAGAATTTTCTCATCTGTGTCTTGCAGCATTAAGGAAATTACTCTTACTTTTAGACAGTTAAGAATACAGCCATATAGAGCTGGACTCAATGTAAATTGTGCTTTATCCATAGAGTGAAATCATTCAACATAAAGGTTATCCCTGTGAGGAATATGAAGTTACAACTGAAGATGGGTATATCCTTTCTGTTAACAGAATTCCTCAAGGCCTAACAGAACCTAAGAATAAAGGTATGATTTACCCAATGTCACCCCAAAACAGCAATCCTCCATGTAATTGCAGTGTGTAGGAAAATCTAGATTCATAGAGCAGACTGAGATTTATTGGTCAGATCAAGAACGGGGTTGATTCCCCTTTAATCCCCATCACCATCATGCTACTCCATCCTGTACCATCAATTACCTCAAACAGTTTGCTTTTCAAAAACCACCTTCTGGTTTAAAGGGGCTCCATAGTTCAGTGGTGGAAAATGTGCCAAACATGGAAGCTTCTGAGTTCAACCCATGACACTACAAAAGACTTCATGAAAAAATCCACCTCTTGACCTCTTCTACCACTTAACTTGTTCACCAAATATCTACTACATATTATATAGACACATACCAGTATCCCAGAGTGTTCACCAGTGAGCCTTGACCGCACCCACCACACCTCTTCATGAAGAATGTGCACACCCATGCAACATCTCATCCTCACTGCTGCACATTGTATTCCCCATCCAAAGAGCACTTTAAACATTTAAGACAGGGTCTCTCTTTTACTAATGACTTCTAAGGAACCATCTCTGTATGCACACTTTCCATGTTTGACATGTTTGTATGGTTTTGTAGTTCCACTTTAATATGTAAGATTCACAGAACATATTGACTTCTAAATATTCATGTTCATTGCTAAATTATGCCACAACCCATTTCTGGTTGGTTCTCATCTTTTTAATCCTGAGGTCCTTGTTTATAACAGCAACTGCATTCTCTCACGTGTATACAGATAATAGAGTTTCTTGTGTTCTTTCTGTATGTCAAGTAAAATCCTAGGTACTTTGTTTTCATTAGTCTCATTTCAATGTTCATAATAACCCAAAGAAAGTGCCACTCATAGTAGTGATGTAGCTGGTCGAGAATGTCTGTGCTAATGCTTGCCAATATGTCACCCTCAAATCCAGATCTGCTTGCTACTGTGGCTCATGTTCTTAACTATAATCAAAAAGTACTGGATAAATGCTATTGCTCTTTGGTGTAAAGAAGCTTCAGGAGCAATATTATTTCAGTTTGTACCCATGTAGCTTTTTAAAATCAACCATTTTTATTCTACCTGCCCAGCATGTTTCTGGCTCAGTGCCTTTGAATCTCAATTCTCCCTTTTGACCACTCTTTATTAGACACTGATGCTGCTTGCACAGGCCCCTTTTTCCGGACCAGTGTACTAAAAAGAACAACCCCTTGCTGTCTGTGGATATCAGACCCTTGACTCTGATTTCTTATCCTTACAGCACTTAACAGAACTGGATGTGATAGGTGTTTGCTTGTTAGCTTTCTGTTCCCTACCAGAGTGGAAACTCAATAAAGGGTGGGGACTTCATTATTTTGTTTGGGACAATAGCTAAAAGAGTGCCAAGCATATTATTTGTGCTATTGAATACTATATTTTTAGAATGGATGAATTTTGTAAAAACAAATAAATAGCCTGGAGAGAAAACATTGCACTAAACCTCAAATCCCAGAGGTGATAGAGGTTAAGGCACGACACTTCCCAGCAAATGAGTCAATGCAGCAGTTATTAAATACAAAGGGTTACCTGTAGTCCCTCTCCATTAGTCGTTTTGTTTTCTTATATCCTGTTGCTTTGCTGTTCACTCATTGTCAGGTAATGTTGTCAAATTGTTTGGGATTAAAAAAATCAGCCTTTTAATGCAGTCAGTGTGGAATATCCCCCTCTAGTGGCTGATACTGTTCCTGCAGCTCTTGTTTAACTTCAAATCATAGCATATTCAATGGGATACAACGCATTATGACAGGTAGTCCTCAAATTACGGACAAATTCCGTTCCAGGAGAATGTTGGTCAGTCGCATGTGTTGGTAACTCCAACAAAGTGAGTGTTATACACCTTTGACACAAACAAAAAGCATAAAACACACAAAAATGCTGTACATAAGCTATTTTACTTTTATAGTCACCTTAAAATGGTGGTACAGTAAACAACCAGCATAAAGGGGATTGCATGGAGTGAAGAAACAGAAAAAATTACTATCTGGAGGAAGGCGGGTAGGTGGGAGATGGTGGAGTGATATGTCCCATCTTTTTATCTTGGTCTGATCTCTCAAATATCTTCTCTTTCGTCTCCATAGTTAATGATTTGCTCTTCCTAGCAGTGCTCTCCACATCTGCACCGCTTTCCTTCTTGCTTCTGGGCATCCTGGCTCAGACTGAGCACTGTACTACTGTATGATATTGCACTGCACAGTAAACGCACAGCAGCACAACTGTGACCATGTCCACAGACATGTGAGGCACTCCCACTATTTGTTCACATCTAGGAATGCTCATTATGGGATGCTTCTTTGCATCCATGAAAGTTTATAACCCGAATGTTTGAAAGGTAGAGACTTTCTATACTGTGATTTTATTTTGATAATCAAAGTTTTCTATACTGAAAGGGATTCCTTTCAATCTGGTTTGTAGGTTCTTTTGACGTGCAGGACCTTTAATTGTTACACCTATTTATGTGTGTGTGTGTGTGTGTGTATAAAATCAGACATTATATCGATCTATCTATCTGATCTTAATCATTACAGTATACTCTCTACTGGATCACATCTAACTCTTTCTTAAGGTCCCAGACAGGATCCACAGTAATAATTACACAAAAACAATGGAAGTTGTTTTAGTTTTTTTTCTTTGCCTGGTATTGTACTACCTGTTCCCTCTGATCTTTTAAAGTCATAACAAAAATCAAATTTCACCAATGATGAGGAAATTAAGTTACAAAAATGTGAATTGGTAAAGATAATCCAGCTAGCAAACAGTTCCATCAAAATTTGAACACAAGCTTGCCTGACTCACAAGTCCTTGCATGCTATAAGGACATGTCACATGACATCCCTCATGTTTGCAGGTTCCAGGCCAGTGGTGTTCCTGCAACATGGTCTGCTAGGTGATGCCAGCAACTGGATTTCCAACCTGCGCAACAACAGCTTGGGCTTCATCCTGGCAGATGCTGGCTTTGACGTGTGGATGGGGAACAGCAGGGGAAACACCTGGTCTCGGAAGCACAAGACCCTCTCTATTGACCAAGATGAGTTCTGGGCTTTCAGGTATACGAAAATCTTGAGGTCAAAGTGGACTTGGATGCCTTTGTGAGAACTGTGTAAAGAATTAGAAATTCAGGTATTTAGATAAATTATTTGGATTGTGTCATCAACATCCTACTATGATAGCTCCCAGTTTTGCCAATTAGCTAGTGACTCTTTGGGGGGAGTATAGGGAATATTGGGTTTCCCACATTGAAGGTTGGGTATGGCTAGAGAGATGTAAATGGTAGTCGGTATCCAGTGATTCAGACTGGACCAAAAGATGTGTAAATCCATTTCCTTGTAGGTGGTTAACCTGAGACTGACTCTTCTGAGAGTGATGACAAGTCCTAATACTTCCAGAAAGAAATGAAAACAGGTAGCAGTTTTTAAAAGAAAGAAACTACCAACTGGGCTAATATCTCTCATGGCCTTACAAAAGGTTTTTAATGTTTTTACCTAAATTACCTATTGATATCCATCTGTTCTTGAAACACTTCCTAAGAGAAGGCTTCCTGCCGCATCTTTAATGTTTTCCTGTAAAGGAATCTGTACGGCCCTATGCTGTCTGCTAACAGTGCAAGAGGAGCCTTCCGCTAGGAGATGGATCGTGCACACAATACTGATGATGATGATGATGATGACCCTATGATAGCATCTGCATCAAACAGCAGCTGGCTGACAGCCTATGACCCCAGAGACACCCAAGAATCACCTTTTTGAAATAGCTCCATCACAAGTGTTTTAAGGGTCGTAGTAACAAGTTGTCAGGGCTGGCACTTCAAGTACTTATTTGTAAACCCTGGGGAGGGGGTGGATCTGTTTGTACTGATTATAATTTGTCATATAACTTTATCTTTTCCCCTTGTAGTTATGATGAGATGGCTAGGTTTGACCTTCCTGCAGTGATACACTTTATTTTGCAGAAAACAGGCCAGGAAAAGATCTATTATGTCGGCTATTCACAGGGCACCACCATGGGTAGGTTCAAAGGAAATCAGGTTTGTATACTCAGAAGAAATGTGAACCTAAGGCACCACTGTTTCTGAGCCAATCCTTTCATGTTTCTTTTGGCTCTGGGTTTCTCATCAGTTACTGTAAACCCTGAGAGAAACAGGGGCTGGATTGAGGGAGGTCTGTGGTACGGCACAAAGAGCTTGTACTCAGACAGAGGAGGATTCAAATATTGTCTTTGCTACCCCTTAGGTAAATATGCCAGAGTAAATTCTGTACTCTGCAGTCTATTTCTTCATATACAAAATGGAGCTAGTTATTCTCTCTTAGAGGTGCTAAAACTGTCTGGACTATTTTATATCATAATGTTTGCCAAATCTGTGGAGGCCAAAATTTCACCTACGACACAACTGTAACAGAGATTTGTGGTATAGAATATGCACTTAGTAAATAACCTTTATAAATGAAGGCCTGAGATCAGCATCCACCACATGACAGACAGTCAAGAAACAGAACCTTACGATCATATTAGAAGTAGAGCTGATGGAGCATTCACACAAGACTCTCTTGTTTCCTGCTAATGCCAACGTGTGCTAACGCCTTTTCTCTGAACGAATGTGTGAGAGATGTTGGATGGAGACCCTCTGCAGGCAGTTTGGCGTGGTAAGGGATGGAGATTGTAACTATCCTGGCCCTATCCTGGATATCCTGGCCCTATACCCAGACCAAAATCAGTAGGGAAAGTGCCCATGTCTTGGATTAGGAGGAAGGAAGATCCTAAGAGGCACAGTGTGTCTCATAAGGAGGAGGCTCTCTGGACTAAGAAGAGCTCTTTCTTTTACTCTGAAACAAAACCCTGAGTTGAAGGCTAAAGTTGGATTCTAAAAAGAAAAATTACTGACCAGTTACTGGAAGAAATACGCATTCTTTAGTCAGCATAGCTGTCTTGTTACCAGGTTATGTTTATAATCATGAATATGAAAGCAGTTTTGTAAAACATTTGATTTTGTGCATTCTTCGCTATTTGTGATTTAATATCATCTCTATATAATTTTCATCTTCATGATAGTAAGTGCTTTCTATGACTACCTAGTAATGCCAGTCATTAAAAATGATCAAGAATATGGTGGGGGATAGGTTTGTAAATCTGTTTTACAGATGACTAAATTGTGGCTTAGTGGGGCTGCTAAATAAGACCTATACTCACATACTTAAAGCATTTTCTGAATAATCACTGTACAATGAGGTCTATAAGTTGATAGGAAATTACATTCCTCAATTCCTGTAAAAGTCTTGCTACTACCACTTCGGAGTTAATGGAGATTATTATGACAAATCCTTCAGAACAAAAATCAGAAGTAGATTATCTCTAAAACCTGTTGTTGTACTAAAACTATTATGAATTCAGGCCAATTGTAGGACAATCTTAGGTAGTTTTCAATTGGACAACTTACAGACAACATATTTTTTAAAAGATCTCTAAGTGAAAAGACACTCACTGTTCCCTTAAATCCAACAACAAACTGAGCCATCAGTCTCCAGCGCTTTGATTTCTGAGACCTCAGCATGCTATTGCAGTGGCAAATGAAACACCAAGACCATACTCAGGATTTGAAAGCAGACTTATTTTACATCGGGCCGGCACTGACCAGGAATCAACTGTTCTTCAAGATGGCAGGCCTCACTCTCGGGTGGTCTAGGGCTTGTGTGGGATGAGCAAGCAGGAGGCACAGAGGCAGAACGGCTTGTCAGTCGAGAACGGGTTTTACAGTGTGCATCAGAGAGACCAGCTGTGCATCACAAAGACCAGCCATTTCTAAGAAATAAAAATAACAGAACTATTACCTGAGCAGCTAACAAACTGAAGTATGTTAGGGAGCGAGAGGGACATCTTCCGCTACACTATCACTTGACGATGGGACTGACTTGCCAAGGAGTTTGCTACTGTATAGGTGTACAGTGGTCTTTAAACACGCCTTCCAGGCCCTAAGTTTGCCTTCTGCTAGTTCTTTATCTCCTAGAACTGTAGTGGCCACTTTCCCTCTCCCTGACATACAACTGAATTGAGAATCAGGAATTCCAGTGACTCAAAGACTGTTGGGTTTCAGGGCATTGATTCAGTTGGATCCTTTTCACTGATGCTTTCTACAGAATAAAATGGGTCTAACTTTTACATGTTTATCTCCATATTTTTATAACATTAGTGAGTCCAGTGATAGTAGCTCTTACCATGCCCTTCACAGAAAGAAGGTTATAGTGTTGTATGTGTGTTTCTGCCCTAATACTTAGAGGCCTTTAAAAATATATTTTGCCTGTCAGTTGCTCAACTTGATATGAAAACAAAGGTACTAGTGATGAGGCTGGATCCAGTGTTGAGAGGAAAGAAAGCATAAACACAGAGTCTTCTAGCAATGAATCATGGAGCTTTAATGGAGAACGTTAGCGGGCTTTGCATAAGGGGAAATACAGCTGGGATGTGTTATAGAGAGTTCTCAGATTTAGATAGTTGAGAGGAATTTTAATCTGGTCAAAATTAAGCTGGGATATGATTACTGTATTCATACCAAAAATATAACTGGGCAAGCAAGAGGTGCTGAGCCTCTCCTGGACCTCCCTTTGTGTGTGGCTGGCACACCTGCTCAGATGAAGGATACACAGAGAAGGAACGAGTTTCTTCAGACCCAACTACCTTGTGGCAACCAGTCAGAACTCATGTGATTCTACTATTTCTCTGCTTAGCCCTCTTTCCTCATCCGCCAAACTGCAAATATCAGTCTAGACTGAGAGTATGCAGGCTTTTAAAAAAACAGATGCAACACATCATATTTCTAGTGTAATGACCATACCCTGGCTTTCCCCCAAAAGGCTTCACAGACGTCTTTCTTGAACAGTGGTATTTCGGTGAATCTGCGTTTCAGTTCTACAGGTATAAGTACTGAGTTACAGATTGTCTTGACTGGGATCTCATATCAAGTCTACAGGAGAAATAAGAACTGAAATTCAGTTTGGTCAACAACTTCTGTACCAAACTGTGTTACAGAGAAGTCAGGGATGAAGTAAAACCAGCAAAACCCCTATTAGCTTCCTATCCATTGTTGCGGAGCGTACTTGCCAAATACAGTGATTTTTCTAATTCTCTGTTTCTTTCAGTTGATAGGATAAACTTATTTAGAGAACAAAGTGTCCAAGATATATATAAAGGTTCCCAGGAAGGTATCTAGCATGCTGTTTTCTCTCAAAGTTGTGAGCTTTTTTCACAACATCAATATGATCTTATTAAGTAATTTAAATATGACTGTATTAATTAATTTATAAGAATGAAACTTACCACTTGAAATCAAAAACATTAGGTGTTGTAGGGAACACAAAAGAGCTTTTGTTGTGGTTCACCTTCTCCAGTAAAAGTCTGTAATTTTATAGAAGAGTTAATGACATACTCTATACAGGACTATTAAAATATTTTGATAAAGGTAAAATATATTTTATGAGTTCTATGACATTCAGTATCCATGCTGATATATTTTTCTCTTACAGGCTTTATTGCATTTTCCACAATGCCAGAACTGGGTCAAAAAATCAAAATGTATTTTGCTTTAGCTCCTATAGCCACTATTAAATATGCAAAAAGCCCTGGCACCAAATTTTTGTTACTACCACATATGATGATCAAGGTAGGTGAGACCTAAAGCACGCGCTTTTAGAATCACGTTTTCTAGACTATACTGAAATAACTACTGTTTCACATCATATTTTCACAGGGTTTGTTTGGCAAGAAAGAATTTCTCTACCAGACCCGATTTTTCAGGCAGCTTTTTATTTATCTTTGTGGCCAGATGTTTCTTGATCAAATTTGTAGCAATATCATCTTACTTATGGGAGGCTTTAACATAAACAATATGAATATGGTAAGTAGGAGCCTAGTAAATAAAATTCTAAGTCCCTAAGTTAGGAGTTACAAATCTCACTCTTTAAGGAACCAGTGAGGATCTAGGGAAATGGTACACATCCAGCAATGTGTAGTTTCCAAATGGCAAGGGAATGCTGGAAAGCCTTTACTAGGAGCTGAAGCAAGGTAAGCATTGCGCTGTAGTAACGGCATACACTATAGATGGAAGCGGTCTGACAGCCTATAGTAAATCAGAAAGGAAAAGGAGATGAGGAACTTAGATAGCAGGGAGACCTTCCCACTGTCATCACCTCTCCTCTCAGTCTGGTCTCTTTTGGTTTGTAGTTTAAGTTCTTTGATGGAAGTCTGGGAGATTCAGTTCCTCTTAGGGTTAGTTACCAGTTGGCCTGTGTCCCCCTGGGGGCTCAGTAAGATGCATGCTCTGAGGTGGAGGTTAATGGACAGAACGATTTGGGGTTCTGTTTTTAAGGTAATGGAGGAAAAGGAAACAGAATTTGATAGCGGGGAAATGCTATGACACAGCCTCCACGGTTAATCTTCCGGGGTTTATGAAGACGAGGTGCTCCTGCAGAACTGTCTCAAACTGGGAACAGGGTTGGTCACACACCCTCGTATCTACCAGTCGTTTAATGCAGATCATGCCAATAACGAGGTGGACATGGGGCAATGTAACTCTGCAATTTGGATGACTCCAGTAAGGGCTGGCTGTGGAGTGCAGATGAGGGAACAGGTCTCTAAGTCCTGAGGGTTTCTTCCTCTTATATTAATACTTTGACTTATAGAAACCACTTTGTGGGTATTTATTGTGTTTCAAGCTGATTTTTATCACACAATAAGCTTATGAGACACTGAGAATATATCAATATCCCCATTTTACAGATTAGTACATTAAGTTTTAGTGGGTTAATAACTTTCCCAACTCACCTAAAGAATAACAGAAAGCTAAACTCAATTCCAAATCCCTTATCCCAAATATATCTAGTAAAGAGTTTTAAATAAATGAGTCAGATATCTAATGAGAAGCTACTTTCAAATGAAAAATACAGATGCCCAGGAATATATTTAGTGACTGTATTTATGTGCATGTGTACATTACTATTTCATAGAAACCTGCTGACAATTTGAGGGTGTTCCCATTCCACAGTCTGCCACTCTGGAGATTTGTGCTGGGGAATGTGCTTGTCTTACGAGTTTTGTGTCCCACAGACCACATATGCTTTGTTATAGAGCCGAGCAAATGTGTATGTTGCCCATTCTCCTGCTGGAACATCTGTGCAGAATATTCTACACTGGAGCCAGGTAAGAACATTGAATTGTCTTTTCTAAGTGTCCTTGTACATTTTGTCTGAAATAGGCAAAAGACCCCCTTTTGATTTTCAGTTTTGTGTTTATTTTGAACTACAGTGCAATCTGATCAGTGGTATTTTAACTGTGTACTTGACCTCAGCCACTGAAACTTTTGAGGTAATGAAAGGGAAGGACAGAAGGATGGGAGTGGACTAAAGACATCTGTAAAGTGGGTCCTGAAAGTAAAATGGCCCAAGTGAGTCCTTTCTCTGTCTGATGTTTCTGGAGGAAATTATGTTTCCACTTGTCCTTTTATGGTTCCTCCAGCTGCAAGAGAAGGCAGGAAAAAATTAATAATGCTAATGTGCACCTAGTTGTCCAGAGAGATTTTCACAGGAATCCTTTGTTCTACAGGCTTTTTCTTTGATCTTGGGAAAGTGTGTGTGTGTGTGTGTGTGTGTGTGTGTGTGTGTGTGTAGGGGTGCAACTGAAACAAAACAGAATTTCTAAATTGAATTAGGCTTTGCTCACTGTTTTCCAGGATCACCACATGGCCCAGTTCCACAGCATACTTTCTCATCTTAGCCTTTAGAATTGTGCCAAGTATGAATTCACATTGATTACAGAAAGGATGCACTTCCCAGAATTGAAGATGTGACTGTCACACTTTTGTCATCATTCTCCTTCCTGGTTCATGCCTTTGCACCTTCCTAAAGATTATCCCAAGGAGGGGAGGTGCAGCTCAGACAGCTTTGAGCTCTGCTGCTCTGACAACTGAGTATGTGGTAGCACGTTTCTACCACCCTAATCCCCTTTCCAGTACCTCATAATTTTTTTTCCTTCTAGGTAGCAAATTCTGGAGAACTCCGAGCATTTGACTGGGGGAGTGAGACCAAGAATCTGGAGAAAGGCAATCATGTAAGAAATTCAAATACCACAGACTGAAAATACACCCTCAGGAATGCGTGTGAGGGAGGTCACAGGGATAGGCTTTGCTAGGGGTGGAAATAAAATGTCAGAATTCAAGCAGAAAGCAAAAGTTCAGATTGACTACATTTGAAAAGGAGAAGGATTACAGCTTAGCCTGGAGGACTTTGCTTATGTAACAGTATTGGAGGGGTTCTTTCGCTGATGATACCTTGTGAGCAAATAAATTGGCATTCTCAGTTGTGGGATGGGGTTAATTTAGTCCAGAGACAAGTACATCTATAGTGGGTACTTTAGGACTTAAAAAAACAAATTGATGAGAATGGAGATAGTGAGCTTGTTTCATGTGACTGTAAAAAGAACATTAGATAGCAATTGGGGATTGTCGTGTTAGTCTTGTCTACACTATAAGCTTATATGCTACTACTACAGGCTTCTTTGATTAACTCATATTTAAAATAATGGATTAAATAATCTTTGTGCTCTTCCTGATTATATTTTTAATTAATCTGTGATTTGCAGGTTAAAAAATTATATTACCCTATAAAGTATGAAGCCAGTACTACAGAACAAAATTTAAAAGTTGAATCAGATTTGGATAAATATGCTCTCTTGAATGTCCTAATCGTCTTTTGAGAGATTCAGATCATATTTAATGTCCACATCAACCTAAATACAAAATGCTAGGAGGCTGCATAGTCTGCCTGGCTGTCCCTGAATAGAAAACTTCCAATCACGGTCTACACTTCCTTGTAAATTCTTTTGCATTTTCTCCTAAAGTATATTTTTAGAGACAGTGTTTTATGATGGCTTAAATTTGTCAACATTTAATGGACCAAATTCTTCAGAATCTGGTGTGTGCAGAGTAGGCACCAGAGAATGATCACAGAAGGGAAGAAAAAACACACATATAAAAAGCTGTCATAGGCAATTTAGGCCTAGACCTAGATTTAGTTCAATCTTTTTATCTGTAAAGTGAGGAAAAAATATGACTGACTCCTTAGGTAATTTTAATTTTTAATATTTAAATAAGGCTATAGTTACAGATTCTTAACAAGCCACCAAGACAAAGATGGGCATTTAAGATTGGAGCCTAAGCTGTCTGGTGGATTTTGTGATTAAAAGTAGAAAACGATCCTTACTGATTCTATGGAAAATTGATTTGTGAAGTCAGCCAGGCAAGCAATCTTTCAGTACTGCTTGAATACGAGAGTCGCCAGGAACCAGGAAGTCTACATTCCGTTGGCCTCTGAGTGACAGGGACAGCAGGAATGGGAGGCAGGAGCGGCTGTTTAACTTTGCTGGCTTCTGTGTTAAACTAGCTGAGTATCAGCCCAGCCTGCCAATGGCTCGAGTCTTTGGAGGTGCAGTCAAGCCAAGCCCACCCCGAGCGCTATGAGACCACGTAACAAAGTCTGTGAGGGTCTACAGGCCTTTTCACTAGGTTCTCTTGCCTTTCCCTGTAGAACATCTCTAATTTTTGCCTTATAAAATGTTTCAGAAAGCATCTTTTACACTTACGGGTACATTATTTTTAAAGGCAATTTACTTGTGATATATATGAAATTAAACATTATTTAATTTTTAAAGTTCCAGGTAGGGGATGGGGATGTAGCTACATGATAGAGTACACGTTCAGCATGCACAAGACCCTGGGTTTGTTCCCCTCAACCACACCATACAAAAAATAGAAAAGATAATTTGTGCATATTCTTACTTGACCTAATTAGTTATTACCAATATTATCCCCATTTTGCAGGTGAAAAAACTAAGGTTCAATCATTTGAAATAATTTTGTAGTAGGGACTAGACCAGAAACGTAAGTGTTCTGCATGACTTGCCCTTCACCCTCGTGCACTTTTTACCACAATACATAAAGTATTTATGTGCCGTTGAAATGCAAATTATGGTTTTGGAAGTTTAAATATTGTCCTGTTATCTCGAGCTAAGCTGTTCTTTTGTCACAGCCAACTCCTTTAAGGTACAATGTTCGCGATATGACGGTGCCAACAGCGATATGGTCAGGTGGTCAGGACTGGCTCTCAAATCCAGAAGATGTGAAAACACTGCTCTCCGAGGTGACCAATCTCATCTATCACAAAAACATTCCTGAGTGGGCTCATGTGGACTTCATTTGGGGGCTGGATGCTCCTCAGCGAGTGTACAATGAAATCATCCATCTGATGACACAGGAGGAGGCCGGCCTTCCCCAGGGAACCTGCAAGGTCTCCCTGTAAGACTTCAGATGCTGACAAGACTTAGGCACAACATTATGGGAGACAGTTCTAGGGCCAGGAACAGAGCAGAGGATTTTACAGACTTCCAGAGGGAAAAATAGACTGTATCTATCAAAGGGCGGGCAGAGATGCAATTCTATTTTTCTTTCAGTTTCTACATTCAGCACTAGAATTCAGATTTACATTTTTTTCAATTAGTAAAATAATAATAAATCTGAGTTTCATATGCTATTATATCTTCTAAATTTTGAAGGTTAATTTTCACTTGACAGCCAGAAAGTACGTAGATAATCACTACATCATTCAAATAAATCTCCTTCAAACATTTATTTTTTTCCTCAGCCATATTTTTGAAGGAGTAAAGTAAGAATGACAAATTGGAGCAAACAGCCAGGTCAAAAATCTCTGAATTGTTGGTTTTGACAGACTGAGCTGGGCATTTCTACCTTGTTGCTATAGTCAGGATACTACCTCAGAAAGCCAACTGCTTGACAACAAAAAATCTGTATGCGACACAGATGAATATGTGTAAAATATCCTAAGAGGAGGGCCAAGTTTTATAGTTGGATCACAGAGAAGATACATTTTTAGGATATTTAAGAGTTTCCTAATAAAACATCATGCATTGCACAGAGCATACTTGTGTTACACCAGTACTGAAATTCTAATATAAGATTGTTCACAGCCTGCTGCTACAAGACATACTGGCACAACTTTTTAGCTCCAAAAACTAAAATCTTGGAAGAAAATTTTATCATGTCATGAGCATAATGAAACAAATTGCCATATATTTTATTCTTTCATCCTAACAATCACTGCTAGAAAATCCAGCTCATTCATAAATCTAGAGATTTCTTTAGAGAATTGTTCAATTTTCAGTTTCAAAAATGACAGTTGTGAATTATGTCAATATTATTCTGGAAAATTTAATCTCAAGTCAAATGAAAAGTATACTGCGTCTGTCCAAAGTACACCACTAGAAGTATAATGGTGTGTGTTGAAGCTATATTGGTGTGTGACATTCACTTTTGAAATTTAATCTCTGAGTCAAGAGGAACTAAATTCCATGCTAATGAATCTTAAATAATTTAGAGATACTTAAAGACTTCAGAACCCAAATCTAGATACTACTACTTTCTTTGGGGTCTTACATAGTTCAGTAAATATTACTAAATTTGATTTTTGTTAGACCTTGTTCTGTTCAAGGATAGAAAACCTTTTACTCTGTGACTGTATTTCTTATCATATATAGTATAATTTAACCCATGTCTACAGTTATGACTGGGTTAGTCTTAATTATCAAAATTTAGTCAAATTTTAAAAGTCTTTATTTCCACTGTGTAGCATTTATAAAAGAAGTAAAATAGATGTTTTGGTATTATCTCTTTTTAGTATAATCTAGATTCTATTTTATTATATAATTATATTATAACCAGTGTATGTCTCTGTCTTTCGTGAAGTGTTTTATCCAAATAAATTATAGTACTATTTTGTCAATAAAAATAAACAGCTGGGGCTAGAAGCATAACTCAGTGCTGCACTGCATTTTTATTTTCTGAGACCCTGGGTTCAACCGCAGCACTATGCACACAAAAAATTTTTTAAATGAAGTCAACAAAACTAGAAAATGTGGTAACCATTTTGCATTTACAAGAGGATTATAATCTTTTTCTTTTAATTTCCAGTGCTGGGGATCTGATGCAGGTCCCTGTACGTGCTAAGTATATACTTTTTCACTGAGCTATATCCTCAGCTCCTTAAGGATACTTTTTAACATGTCCTGTTGAAACCAAGGTAGTTATTTATTTATTCATTTATTATTTTATTTTAAAAGGAATAAAACAAAATAAAGCCAATCAAAACAAACCAATATAAGAGACAAGGACTCCAAAACATTACAAAATCCACAAGTTACCATAATGCTCCTTGACATCTGCAGATAACTTCAGACATAGTAAAAATCAAAACAGAACAGAGTAGAATAAAAACAATAAAAACAAAATGATGAACGCAATAAAGGATTTCAAAACAAGCCATAGTAAATCCAAATTGCTACCATAATATATCTTGCATCTTTGAAACAGCTGCTCCTGCCACTGGATTTAACATAATCAAACAAAACAAAAGAGAATAAAACCCAACCCAACAAAACAATGGAAATGATATAGGACTTCAAAACAAGACCATAAGGAATCAACAGTGGCTACAACCCCCAGAAGGAGCTGCCTCCTGGTTGCCACATTGCATACCACTCTCCTCTGAACCTATGATCAGACCACCGGCCCTAGACCTGCAATGTTAGTGTAACACCAGAGCACCACAGGCATCCAATTGCATTTCACCTCAATAGCTATCATCACAGCCTGTGTTTCTCTGAATAAGCTGGTCATTTACAGGGGTGCTGATGGTGGGGGATTGGTACTTCTTGTTCGCCAGCCAATGCATCAAGAGGGGCTGCAGTATGGCTTTTTCTGGTCTGACAACAGCCTGCACATGGCACTGGTTCCCAGACTGGGCTTGCTTGCTGGTGTGACCTTGTTCTCTCTCCCCCCAGTCCACAAATGGCACTGACTCACAGGGAGAGAGCAAGGTAGTTTTTATTTGTAAATTAATATGAAAATTTCTAGTGGTATGTTGGTAAACGAGGTTTCTACAAACAGTTTTGCTCTGTGATGTTTTCTAAACATACTGTGGCATAAACATACTCACCTTCAGCAATGGATAAAAGTTTTTATTCAAGTTGTGTCATCAAAGGCCTATTTACATTGGCATCTTTGAGCTTCACACACACACATACCATTCTACACAAATGTACAGACTTGGACTCCTCCTATTTGTACTTAAAAGAACCTGAAAGGAACAGATTTTTCTCCTTGGCATGATGTAGACAAGACAGACTTTTTATATACCTAATACACCTGGAAAGAGAGAGTCTATCTCAGATAATGCTGTTTCTTTTCTTCAGGAAGGTCTGAATCTGAAATATCAGTTCTTGACACAGGCGGATACTCCAATAACATTAATATTTCTCCTGGAGCAATTATGGTGATGGTGAACTACATTGTATAAAAAAGACTATAAATAAAGTCTCTTCAAAAACATGAACATGGCTGTGATTATCCTGAAGGAGAAACCCTGCTAGGTGGCCCACAGACCAGTAGTCTAAGATGTAGACAGAATCCAGTCCTTTAACTTTGTGTCTCCAGTCGTGAGGTCACAGGGTTACGATGCTTTCCTTAGCATTAATTCAATCTGGGAAAATTTTAGTCTCTGTGCAATGTCCAATGAGCTCTCCCCATGCTGAGGAGAAAAAGAAATTACAGTTATTTACTTCCAATAGAGTCAAATATAAATGATCAATAAAAGCTAGGATATGACTTCTTGGTGAAGTACATCCCCAAATCCCTAAGTGAGACTCTTAGCATAGAAACAAAACAAGATAAAAACTCAAGCTGGACAATGCTTTACATGTTCACTTCTAAAAGTATTTCTAAAAGTAATCTCATTGCTTAATGAGGACAATCAATTTTACTGTTATTCAAATGAGAGGCAATTTAACCTCAATACAAAGTCTAGATATGAAGAACCTCAGACCCTGGCTCAAGACTCTTACCTTGTCCTTTATCATGGGATCTGCATGGGCCTCCAGGAGCAGAGGGATGAGCGTCAGGTTTTTCATTCTGCAGGCATAGTGGAGCGCAGTGCAGCCGTCCTGAAACACACAGGGCGCTCATCAGTCGGGCTCTCCACAGACTTCAGCAGTCAAGTTTGCAGTGTAGAACCAAGCAAAATGGTCTGCTATTTCTAGTATTTAAAAAGTATCCTCCTATACTTCAATATGCATATTATTATCTAATAAACCATCAGCATCTTCCACTTTCTCATTTTCTGTTCCAAGCTGCAGAATGGGACTTAGGAAAAACTGAGGCTGAGTTACAATAAGGTTTGTTTGCAGCATTAGATAAGATGAACAATCAACACCTTGTTCATTTTATTATCTTTTTCCTTAAAGAATTTCCACATGAGCCTTTTTGCAAATATTTTATTAGTTCTATAGATCTCCATCCCCACAATGGGAAGAAGGTGAGTGCCCTTATCACTACAGAACATTTAGAAGATCATAGTAGTTATATTCTGTTAGCACCAATTTAAAACACTTACTACAGATCAAGTAAATTTATAGCTGGCAGGTTTGTACTCAAAATTTTGTCTTTCCACTGGGCAGGGTGCCACTTGCCTTGTAACCCAACACAGTGAAGCTGAGGCAGAAGAATCATCACAGGTTCAGACAAGCCAGGGCTGCGTAGTGAGTTCAAGGCCAGCCTGAACTATTATTGTTTTTTTAAAAAACCAGTCAAGAAAATGACACAAAAAAAATCTTACTCCAGAAAAAAATGGTAGTCATGAAGATATTAAATAATCACAAATACTGATAAGGCCTCAGAGAAAAACGAATCTTTCTGTATTGTTGGTTGGAATGCAAACTAGTACAATTACTATGGAAGTCAGGATGTAGATCTGTCAAAAAAATAAAACTAGAAATTCCATTTGACTCAGCTATCCCCCTTGTGGATATCTTCCCAGAAGAGTTAAAGTCATCGTATTACAGTGACACATACACATGATTGCATAAAATTGTCTCAATTCAAGTACAGTTAAATACAATCAAAACTAAAGTAAATAGAAACAGGGATAGGGCAATATTCTCTGTCATAGAACAAGAATAATACGTATGGAACGAGGGAAGCATTACATAGGTTAGTGTTTATAATCAAATTCCAACTTTTCCTTTTCAATCAACCCTCCCAAACTAAAATTTAATTCAATTAACATAAGCAAATAAAGCAGAATAAAATCTTTTGAGCCATTATGTTCATTGAAAGTGGCAAAAGGCAGAAACGGTCCTACGTGTCTTATGGGAAGAAGCCAGCTGGTGCTCCTGATCTGTCACTGCTCTTACCATTTTTGCATTTCCCTTCATCCCCAGCGACCTTTTGCCCACACCGGGGCCTCTGTTGAAAGCGGTGGAATCCTGGCTGCAGTGTCAGCTGTTAACACCAGCGAGCATTCACTCTACACAAGCATTCCGCTTACTACTTTGCATGAACCTGACCTATGAAGTAAGCACTCTAGATTTCCATCTTAAAAACAAGAGGACTGAAATCAGTTTATAATCTGGTAAAACTCAATCTAGTAAAACTCAGAGTAACACCTAGGCATTCTGGTACAGTCTTCTTAATGACTGAGAATAGCATTTGTCATCAGACCTTCCATTTTCCTTAAATTTGCATCATTGTCAAAGCCAGTGCTTGATATTCAATGAAGATTTTATTCTTATGAGTTTAATTTTTAAAATATAAATAACCTCATAGTTGCCTGATTGGTCATGAGGAAAAAAAAAAAGAAAGGAAAGAAAAGAAAGGTAAATGTAAACATGTCTAGGAAAATAAAGCAAGCAATCTTATACATGGCAAGTATATTAACTGTAATATTTTAATATTACTTCAAAGTGGCTAAAAACACAAACTTACACAGTCTGTAGCATTAACCTCAACACCAGCATTCAGAAGCATTCGTACAAGAAACTCATTCTGCTTCGTCTTTGATACCTGAAACAGACAGCAAGCACAAGACAGGTTGTATTACAAACATTTTCCATCTGTGATTGAGGCTCTTGAATCGGTAGGACTTATGCTAATCCCCAAGCTGCTTTGAACCTGTGCATCTTTGTTAACGTTTCCCCACCTTCTTACTCCCCTCCATAGCAATCAAAGCCAGTTTTCAGGATGAACTCCTGGGGTAACAGCCTCAGGACCCAGAAATTTGTTTGAAATTTGTATTTTCAGGTCCCACAGCAGACTTACCACATTCTACTGAAACTGTGACCCAGCTCCTGTCTTACCAAACTCAGAACTCTTCCAGACTTCCCACTGCTCTGATGACAAATTAAACTCTTCAGCATGGCGCTCCCAGGACGGACAGCCCTAGTCCTCTCTCACATCCTGACTCACCCTGCTTAAACAACACTGGCTTTTAGTCTGTTTTCGCCAGGCTCCTTTCTGCCAGAAAATCAACGTGCAGAGAATTCCTTCCACCTGGAAGCTTTCCCTCATTTGCCTGGAAATTCATCTTTTGTATCTCTGCCCTGCCCTTCTTCCTAGGAAAGGCATTCATGGCTCACCTGACTAGATAAAATCTCTTCCTTCCGGGCTCTCATAAAAACCGTCACTTCTGTGCCGCCTGTTCATGGTGGCTTCATGTGTGTTTATGCCATTAGATTAATAACTCCTATCAGCCTCTGAGGCTTTTGGGAGGACAAGGTCTGTGCCTGTGTGTTCATCACTGTATCCCTAACACAGACCACAGCGTCCGGTTCATTACAAACATGTGGTGAAGGACTGGAGAAACGAAAAACTTAACCTCAGAAATCTATTTTCCCTTTTTAGACCCTTGAAGTTCTGGCTACGCAACAATTGGAAACTTCTGACAGCAGCAGATCCTGGAGGACGCATAGCTCCCTGCTCACGGGGACGCAGCCTAGAGGTCAGCTCTGCAGATGCGGAGCTTCCGTGATCTCTTCTCCTTGTACCTCACCCTGTCACCTGCTAAACTACTTTTCATCCTCCTGTCTCTGAAATGACTCAGTGCTTTCTGGTCCTCTTCCCTATAATTTCCTCCTGTGCAGCTGATTCTTTGTGCACCACAAATTACAGTTTAGGCTCCACTGGTGAATGGCGGACTTGTGCAGTTAGAGCCAAACTGCTCGTTACCATCAACATTTTTGCTTAGATCTGCAACTTTCAAACACTGGAACGTCTTGGAAAAAAGAGTTGTGTGTCAACAAATTCTGAATGAAACTTGCTAATCAAAGTTGCAGTGCTTTTCTTCTGAATCTCTAAAAAAGATTTGTAGGTGAATGAGAATTTTCTCTTGCCCCCAAATTACAAATATTCAAATAATCTATGACAAATAGACATGACTTTTCCCAGAAGTCTTCAGGGATATAAAGTTTATTAGTGAAATACAGTTTTCCTACTCTTTTCCACATACTCAAACATCAAAATTAGACATTCACATATTCTGTAACATTTAAGCCACTAAGGAGATAATAACATTCTTAAAATTGCAGATTTTGTAGTGAAACTTATTTTAACAAGGGTGGTTAACATGCATGGCCTATCAACATAAAAACAAGGGAACTTGTTCATTTACCTGGAGTAAATTAAGCATCCGCTTTGCTTCCCTCAAAGGTTGAAGTGGCCACAAGGGAGCCTGTTATAGATTATGTATTCCTTTGCCTCCTCCCAGGTTTCATATAATATGGATGCGACCAAATCTAGCGTTTGTGATAGGCTTGTTGTCCAGCGCTGGGATTGGCGGTGTGAGTGCTGCACCCATCTAGGGGTGGAGCCAGGATACGATGTAAGGACAAGAAGAAGGTGTGTCTCACTCTTTCGCTTTGTTTTTTGCTCTTTGCGGCATCCGTGAATGCCTGTCCCGCCATGCCACGCTGCCCTGGAGCCGACTGAACTGAAACCTCAAAGAACTATAAGAAATATACCTTTTCATCCCTAACTTTGGGCATCAGGTATTCTATCTCAGCCACCAGTGAAAAGTACAGAGCCAGACCCAGATGTGAAAAAGTGAACGAGTCAGCACAGACCTGCCTCCCTATCTGTAAAAACAAACAAAAATTCCTGAAGTTTTGTCCTTTTCTTATGAATGTGTTCCTACATCAGTCACCTGTTTACTTTTTCAAGAAAAGATCCTGCGAAAGATGCATTCAAGCATGATTCCATTCATCAAGGTGAAAGACGGCTTCAAATTCTCCACTGACATCTTCTGTGTTTGTCAGTTTCTTTAGATCTGTCTTCCAGCTCACCAAGTTAGGCCTTTAAAAATTGGAAACTCAGAAGGATGTACTAAAACATAATCTCCTCTTACAAAAAACAAGAGGAAAAGTAGTAGAAAGAGGGTTGTTTTTCAAATGTTCAGGTTTTTGTACTCCTTTCAATGATTCCCATTCAAGATTCAATTATTTTTCCATATCAGCCTTGCACAGCTGACCTTCCTCTTGTTTACCAGCCTTTGCTACCTTCCTTCCCACTTTAATCAGCATCGGATATGCACTAGAAATGTCACTTATGGAGAGCAGACAGTCCCTAAGATACAGTTGCTCTGGTCTTCCTTTTCAAAAAGTGTTTCAGTTTTACGATGTGGAGGCATATTTTGATCTTTTCTTGATCTTTTCTTAGTAATAAGTAGTCAGATACTCACTTGTGATGCCGGGCAGTGCCCAGTTAGCCACCTGATCCCTCGGGTCAGTAAGTAATACTCTACAGTACACTGTGTTGCTAAGCTATGATGCCAAGTATATTAGTTGTATTAATACATTTTCTGAATATATTTTCATCTTATGAAAGGTTTACTGGGATATAACACCATTGTAATTCCAGGAGCACCTGTACAAGCCAAGGGCTTATTTTGTTACACTTCTGTACAGCATCTCACTGGTCAGGAAAAACTCTAGGAGTCATACCATGGATCTCATGTGAACTTGCCTTTTGCTCTAACTGGTGTACTCACCATAAGGAAATACCCAATGAGCAGGACAGGCATTAACAGGACGATGAGTAGATAATCAAAGAAGGTAAATCTTTTCTTCACAGCATAATGCAAGCAGGTTCTCCCTTTCTACAAAATAAGAAGAGGATGTTTATTTCAAAGTTTACATTTTGATGTTACCATGTAAAAAGTTTAGTTTATGCTTTTTATTCTTAGGATTTCATGGCACCTAGTTCCTGTGGAATATATCTGGCTAATAAACTCAGATTTTCACTGCCCAGATCACAGAACAGTTCAGTCTAGAGGAAAAGGTGGGGGGAGGCCAGTGACAAACAGTGCAGGTGAGTGTATACTGTAGAACTAATCACAGGATGGATTCTCACATTTGCTTCAGTTTTTGAGCAAACTAAGAAACTGAGTATAAACACAGGACTGAAATTCTATGAAAAACTATTGTTATTCTTTTATAATCTGTAGTGGACAATTGTCCATTGTTCAGTATGTTCATAGGAAAATTTTAACCACATAGTAATTTTTTCATGTTCCTTTATGTACACAAGCTGTCGTAAAGCATGCAAGAAATCTAATTTTTCAAATATGTTGATATTACCAGGTGATAAACTTAAATTTCAAAGGGTAGTGGGGAAAGGGAACTCTGGATCTCATAATGGAAAGTGGCCAAAAACATGCACGGACCAGTATAATGCAAAACAGATTCTGTTGTAACTGAAATAGAAATCAAAATCAAAACAATAAAAAGAAAGGAAGCACAAGAGAGAGGAGAGGTTAGTTTCCACTTGGGCGGGCCACTGCTTTCAAATAAGAGCACTTACTTGTTTTTCTAAATACCAAGGTCTCTATGTGGTCTGTAAACAATTTGAAAATTAAACTAGAGTATAATAACAGAATTTGGAATAATCCATCAGATAGTCCACAGTTAGTATTGGTATTATACTGTACTGTACTATATTTTCTTTAGGTCTTTACAATATATAGTGTTTTAAAATATCAGATTACATTGAATTTAAAATTATGTGCTGCCTTTTTTGGTTTACAAATGTCCATTTAGAATATCTGCACTTTCCATTCAACATTGTAATGGTTTTCTGTTACATGGTTTTCTGTTTAACTCTATTCAGCTAAATGCTTTGTATTAGACATTTCAAATTTTTAATTTTTATAATAATATTACTTAAGTATCATCCTTCACAGAACTGTCAACAATTCTAGGTTTGCCCTTGGCTTAAGTTTCTAAAAATTAAATTCCTGATGTGACTGTATTAATATTTCTCACATTTGCTGCTGAATTGTGCTCCAGTAAGATGATAACAATGTAAGCTCACTTCCTAATCAGTACTTAATTTTCTTTTTTAAAATTAGTTGACAGACAAAAAATAACATTTGTTTCCATTTTAATTCAATCCACCTTCCATGGTATCTATTTTCTGTAGGCATGTGTTTCAAACCACCAGCAGATCTATTTGTTTGTTTGTTTGTTTGTAAGGGTTTTGTTTGCGCAGTACTTCTGAAAATAATTCATAATCAGATTTAAGAAATGAGAAAGAAATTATTCAGTTACTCTTTATAAAGACTATTATTTGGTAAAAAATAAACATATTAAACATTAAAGCACCATTAGAAACATTTAAGAAGTAGAAAATGTAAACGAAAACTACCTCTGATAAAGTATCTATGAGTATTAATTTAAAGTATGCACTGAAGTCCTTTTCAAGGTTTTATGATACCAGAGGTTCTGAATAGGGTGCCAGAGGTTGTCCTCTGCAAAACAGAGGTAAATTATTCTTCAGTCCAAGACCTTGGCTGTCAAACACCTCCTCCTGTCAGCTTTCTAATGAGCACACTCTGAAAGCCAACCAGAGCTCCCCGACTTCCGACTTACACCAGCATAGCTCACCACAACCCTAACCCTAACATGTGTTCTAAGGTGATCCTGCTATCACTCTACTAAACAGCTAATTTCTTAGTAGCACAGGCATAACTTGTTTTTAAACTCTCCCAGGGCTGAAAGTGTTGCTTAGTGCTAGAAGGCTTAATGAGGGTGGGTAAGACCCTGAGTTTGATCTCCAGCACCACAAACAAACAAACAAAAATTCACCCAAGCAAAGAATGGTAAACACATGTAAGAAGTGACTAGTGATTGATTTTCTGATAATGATTTTCTCCCAATGAGCTCATCTTTAACGTGACTTGTTAGTGGTAAGTGGGGCCCTAGCAGATGTTTTTCTCCCTGAGTGCACTGCAGTAGGTACAGGAAATTCATAACTATTGCAAAAAGTTACTCTGAATGTGTATTAAGTATCCTTTAAATGTTGCCTTTACTATAATGCAGATGCTAGGTGTTCACAAGGGTTCTGCAAATGTGCTCTTGGCAGACACACATGGTTCCGAAAATTCCAAACTAGTTAATATTGTATTTTGCCACATATTCTCTATGTCTTTTTGTATTACTTCATGGCCTTGGTTTATGAGCGTATGTGTCCTCAACAGATTTCTTACTGCTTTCTTTCATGTTACAAGAACATAGGAACTTCTTTAGGTCAGCTAATTTACCTTATAGCCACAAACTCTCTTTCTTTAACAAGAAACGTTCCCATGATTTCTGTATTAGTGAGAAGGGGAAAGAGAGAGAAGAGCATAGGAAAGATGAGAAATAAGAGGAAGAAAGGAAGAAGGTGTACTTATCCAGACAAGGGAGTGAACCATTCTCTCCCTCCTCAAACGTACAAAGACAAAATCAATCATACAGTATGTGTGTTGATTGAACTATGCTTTACCATGCTATTTAACATAGTAAAATGTCCTTTGCATATATCAGTCTCTCCAAAGTCATACCAAAATATAAAACAAAAACAAACAAAAAAAATAATTGTGCATATTAGGAGCTACAAACAATGGAAAAGTGACATTCACCACTTCCACCGAGTGGGGGAGAGGAAGTGGTAATTGAACTCTCCACTCACGTGGAACAGCCTCACCTGGTTTTTGAGGTTGACATTAGCGTTCCTTTTTAAAAGGAAGGAAACAATTCTCGTGTGTCCTCGCCTACAAGCACAGATGAGAGGAGTGTCTCCATTGAAGCCGTCTTGAATGTTGACATAGTGGTGGTCTTCTTTCACCCACCGCCACACCTGAGCCAGGTCGTTCTGGTAGGCTGCCTGGCAGACAGGCTGAGTGTGAAGAACAACAGAAAAAGTTCTTGAAACATAATTAGACCAAAATAAGAAAGAGGACGAGGAGGAAGAGAAAGAGAAAGGGAGGAAGAGAAAGAGGATGGAAGAGGAGAGAGAAATCATTACCCAATGATTTAAAACACAAGTTGGAAGAAGGAGGAGGAGGCAGAAGATAAAGAAAAGAAAAGAAGAAAAGGAGAGAAAGAGGAAGAAGAAATCATTACCTAATAATTTAAAAATTGTTTCCAAATTGCAATATATTGCTCCGAGGTTTTGGCTTGCCTATGCCTGGCCTTTAAATTAGAAGAGCCTAAGTCCATGAGGAGCATTTATTTACCTTCTCTTAAATTGCCTGACACATAGAAGAGACAAATAGTGAAGAAACAAAAGAGTGAATAAATAGATGAAATATCGCAAATCTGACTCCACAAGGAAACTGTATACTGTGGTTGGAAGCAAATGGGCAGCCAGAGCAAGAGAAGCTCACTGAAGCTAAAATGAGCCTGCCGGAAGGAGCTCAGGGCAGTATTGGTTGATGGAATGAGACCCGAACGACTCAAGGAACTCAACAACGTATAAAATGCAGGTTTTACACAAATGATGTATAAGTAAAAATGATATAATTGGTATGTTTTAGACCTAACACGTTTCCCAAAAGTCTCATGTGGTTCAGAAGTGGGGCTTTTGGGAGGTGATTGGATCAGGGGACACTGGATTAGTCCACTGATAAATCCACAGCCGAATGTGCGGTCCCAAGGCAGGGCCTGGTCAGAAGATGCGAGTCACTGGGGATGTGATCCGAAAGGCTCCCTCTTACCCCTGGCTCCTTCCTCTCTCTCTCTCTGCTTCCTGGCTGCCATGAGCTGAGCAGCTCTCCCCTGCTAGCCCTTTTCCCCATGTGCGTTCAGCCTTGAAACCAGATAACCATGGACTGCACACTCTGAAATCATGAGCCAAATAAACCTCTTCTCTTTCAAATGGTAGGTGTCAGGTATTTTGTCCTAGTAAATAATGAATGCAATGAGAAATTGACATTTGTTAGATATTGCTTATAAAAACATTATAAAGAGCTTTGGAAAGTATCAGGGGAATTTTGTAGGAGAACCTAAGCTAGCTTCATCCCACTAACTTCCTGCCCTCTCCAGCCCTTCTGCACTTCTGTTTTTCAGATGGCCCCAGTTTACCCCTTCCAGCTGGGCGCTACCCTGCGTGCTCCATCCGCCTAAAACACTTCCCTAGCAGTCAGCTGACTCCCCCTAAGTCAACCTCTATTTACTGCTTAATTTTCACTTTATCTAAGAAGTCTTTTCTGATTCCTAACACTGGTATCTGTTCTTCAGGATTATTGTTTTCTTATTTATATCCATGTTTTCCAAGCTAGCATGAATCAGGAGGCATTTGAGGCAGCACTGAGAGGGGAGAGCATTGAAGTTCAGGATATAAACTCTGTCTGGATGAAGGGTGCATCCATTTCATTCTTCACTGCGTCTCTAGCATTCAACAAAGAACTACACACATGGCAAGCAAATACAAAATACTCTCAGGCTGGTTTTACAGCTAATTTTTAAAGAAGAGATGAATTATTTTTAGTGTTGTTGTTGGTTTGTATAAAGTGTAAAAAAGCATTTATAAAAATACCTGGCAAATAGAAGTGCTTAGTTTATGGAAGTTACTCTTATTATTATTGTTAATTAAAATACTCCTTGTTTTAGTAATCATATCATATCTCTGCTAGGCATTAGTCATAGTGCTAGGAACAAAAGTGTATGCTGTGTCTCCTGTATCTATGGGAAATGTATCCGTCTAGTGGAGAAATGGGATACAGACACACGTACACACAGGATACACAATCATACTTGTTGGCATGTGTACAATTCTGAAAATCAAACTCACAGCCTCACGTTCTATCGCCATGTTTTGAACACGTGCTCTGTCACGAGCCTATATTCCTGGTCGCTAAGGAAACAACTTTAGATTATGGGATTACATAAGATCTGCGGATCAGTGACAAAGTCAGGTGATACTATGTCACTTGTAAGTATTTTTTTTTTTTGTGTGTGTGGTAGTGCTGAGAATCAAACCCAGGGCCTCATGCATGTCAGGCAAGAACTTTACCACTGGGCTCCACCCCAGGCCTGTAATACACCTGTGCGCATCCTGAAAGAAAACCCTGAGACATCCTGAAAGAAAATCAACTTATAACAATTAGGATGCAGGTCCCCAAAATGAAGTAAATATGATATACATGAGTTGCACATTTCAATAGAAATGAACTACCTGCTCAGCTTCACCTGTCTTTCCTTTACCAGGCCTCTCATCATCTGGGCACAGGGGTGTGTCGGACTCCACCTGACTGACAGGAAGGACCAGAGCAGTGGAAAGAACACTTCTCTGGTGTTGAAAACCACAGCTGTAATTCTGGCTGTTACTAACATCCGGGGTGACTTGGGCCAATTCACTTCCTTTCGAGTGTTTCAGAGCCCTTGATCATGAAATAAAGAAGTGAAAAGGAAGTTCTTTTGGATTCTCATAATTTATGAATTCTGGGACTTTAATCTTAGCCAATACATCTCCCTGCCACAAACAGGCTGAGAGACCTGCATTGAATTCCTGCGATCTTAGGGACAATGGCCAGTCATTTGAATTTTTTTTTAGTCATTTGAATTTTGATAACAAGTTTTAAAAAAAACTAAATAGAACAAAATGATGTAAAACCACTGGTATCTGATTTTGCCAATCAAATGAATTCAAAGCAATATAATAATTTTCAAAAGATATTTTAACATAAATATAAAAGTAAGGCTGAAAGATGTACTTTAGGGTAGAGTACTTTCTTGACAATTGAGAGGTTTGGGTTTGAGTCCAGCCTTATAAAGTTATTTTTAAATAAAATAAGAATATTTAATACCTCTAGGTATGTATGTGACGCCAAATCCCAAATAATTGGTTCCAATACTGCACAGTCCCCACCACTCCGTATCCCATCTGCCCCAAGGCAGTCATCTGTGCTGCCTGCCTGGTCCCCAGCCTCCAAGGTTAATGCTCTTCCTGGGCTCCTTGAAATCTTTACTGAAAATTCACTAAAAACAGGACAGAATTCTTCTGAGTGAAGCACTAGGTGCTTCTGAGGGTTTTCCCAATCCCATTTGTGCAGTGTTACTTAAAATATTAACCTGATCTTATCTTTAGTCTTTCCCAGGCTTCCACTGTCCTAGGCACAAAATATCTGGTCTTTAAAAGCAAAGTATTAGGGGGCAGCTCAGTGATAGAGCACCTACTTAGTATGCACAAGGCCCTGGTTCCATCCCCAGCACCGGTCAGTCAGTCAGTCAGTCAGTCAGTCTACCCGGCTCATTAGAGATTCACATCATTTGACAGGAGCTGTGGGAAGAGCTGGAGTGTGCTGTTGCTGTCTTAATTTCCAGCAGAGGGCAGCTCCGTGTTGGAAAAGTAATAAAAGCAGCTGGGGAAGTCCCATGGAAAAGTAGCCTAGCTATGGCCCAGGAGAATGACTCATTTAACAGCAACTGGAATTTTTATTTTGTTGCTTATATACAGCAATTTCTTAGAACTAGAAGAGAAAATTTCAAGATTTCCAACACAAATAATATTTTAAGAGATAGAAATGTTAATTACTTGATTTGATCATTATACATTATATACATGTATGAAATTTTCACACTGTATTCCAGTATGTAATTATTCAGTATGTAATTATTATGCCAGTTAAAAATAAAGAAAGAAAATAAACTGAAAAGGTTGTTGGACAGACTAGACATGAAAAATAGGAAGTGGTGTCTACTCGGGCAGAAGGAAAAGTTGTTATAAATCCTTTTCAGCCTGAATAGTTCCTGGAATCGGGGTACTGCGGGTATAGAGGAATTGCACTTGGAAAATTAACTTGGTGACCGGACTCCCTATTAATTTTGATCCCAGCCCTCTCCCACATTGCTAATGTTCTGGTTCAAATCTTTACTGGCTCACCAGGACTTTTATAAAGCTAGCTTTATAAGGAATGATCAAAACACATGATGGGTGTTTAAATTTTAAAATGTTTTACAGTAAAATATATAGTGCCATTAATCCCCTCAAAATACTTCCCTTGCTTCAAACAGTTACACCTCATTGTGCTCGCTGTTTTCTGAAGCAGTTTGCAGTCCTCTCTTGAGGGTGAATCTGCACTGAGAACCGTCCGGTGAAAAGCCAGGCTTGTAAAAATGTTACTGGTCCTTGTCCACCTCCTGGATCCAGCACCATGTGACTTCTGGCTCTTCCTCAAAGTCAGAATGAGCGTGAATGAGGTGTGCTATGAATCCCTTCAGGCCACGAGGGCAGCCAGGACAGTGTGACTAAAGAAATCTAAGGAGGACTCCCAGGACTGCTTCAGAAAGTGTGTTTGAAGCAAGGGGAGCATTTTGAGGAAGATTAAGGTCAGTGTGTCTTTCACTGTAATTTTTTTTAATTTAAGCATTTCCCGTGTGTGTCAGTCATCCCTCATAGCCGTCCTTGCCTGCCCACCTCACTCATCCAGGCTCCAACCCATCCTCAGAATGCAGCAACTGAATCTTATCTTCCTGCTGAAAACACACTCAGTGACCAGCTGGGTCAAGACAAGGTTGCGTCCTTGTACGGACACACATGGTTTTGCAATCTCACACAGCCTGTCTTTCCAGTGGCACCTTCTATAAATTCCTTATCTATTCCCTTGCTCCAAGTAAATAAAGACATGAGCCTGCTTAGCCGGAATGCATCCCCACTGTTCCTCTATGGCTAACTTGATTCCCACTGAATGCTGCGGGGCAGACTAATGAGAGGTATTTGGGTCACGAGAGCCCTGCCATCATGAATGGTTAATGTTAGTACCTCAGGAATGGGTCAGTGATGGCCTGAGTGGGTTCCTGATGCAAGGACAAGTTTGGCCCCTCTTGTTCTGTCTCTCCTCCCCTTCCAACATGGAATGATCAGCTAGAAGGCCCTCATCAGACCCTGCTCCTCAG